AGAGAGAGAGAGAGAGAGAGAGAGAGCGTTTGGTTCAAATACTAACCAATTTTTTTGTGTTAACTATGTTAACCAAACTCAACCAATCGTATTCCATATTTTCTTTTGGTTCAAATGTAACTCATATATTAAATACAAGGGTATTTAAGTAATTTGTCATTTTATGTAACTCCCAAATAATTAATTGGGAGTTACAAATTTGAAAATATCACAATTGATTATGATGCAACATTGACATTGGGGTTTCACACGTGTTTCATGTTCTATAATTCATATTTATTTTAATCGACAGTTCTCACCTTTGACATATGAACACATCAGAATTCACACAGCCTTAGATGTCGTGATTCATAAGTGTTCATGTATATTCAAGTCATTAGATGTTCATATGAATATATACATACACACACACACAAAACATGTGAACACGTATGAAAACACACAACCCTAGATGTCTTGGTTCATAGGTGTTCATGTACATACAACAAAGTTGGCTCATGAATATACAGATAATGTTCATACGGTTCACATGTTGTTCATATGTTTAATCTTTTTTGTTTGATGTAGTTTGAAGATATACACAAGTTGTTCATATGTCTGACAACTCGTGTATCAAAGATAGATTACTTTTTACCTAAATACTCTTTGGTATTTTGTTCACATATGTTAATTGAAAATATTAATTTAATAATTAATTTTTAAATATCATTAAATCACAACCGTTTATTATTCAAATTAACGGTCAAGATCGGTAACAAAGTTAACACGATAATCTTGGTTAGCATTTGAACCAGCCCCGATATATATATATATATATATATATATATATATATATGGGTGGGTTAAAGGTGATCAAGAGTCCAAAACCCTTCTTACGCTTCTCACCTTAACTCTCTTTCTCCTACGATCTTTCGCCTATATATATATATATATATATATATATAGGGTCATGTTTTGGTGAAAATGAGAGTTAAGATTAAAAGCGCAATTCGAGGGTGAACATGAGATTAAAAGTGATCAAAGGTTTAAATATTTTCTTACATTTCTCAGCATAACTTTTTTTCTTACACAATCATTCACCTCTTTGTGTATATAGACACGATATAATATGCAATCTTTGACCATAACAAAAAACTAAAAGACTAACTAATAATTGCTCAAGAACAATCATGGATCATAGTTAGGAGCTGGTTTTTTCTTTAAGCAAAAAGTTTACATTCATATTTGAACAAAAAGTTGATTACCAACAATCTTAACCGGCTCGACACAAAACTCCCCTTGAAGAACATTAAGATGACGGACATTTTTTGACTCACTTAGCAAATGATTCAAAACAAACCCAAGACATATTTTATATTTAAACAAGGTAATTATGCTATTTTACCAACACTCAAGCTAAGAGACTTGTACATTCATAATAGTATGACAAGTATTATATGCCAATTATTTTATACAAAATATGCATTTGAGATCATTTGAAACATAAGGATGGTGTCTGATTGGTTTAAGCTTGGCTCCAAAGGTCAAAAGTACTCGAATGTCTCAGGTTCAAATTCAAGGAAGAATAAAAATCTCTTTGTGGCCACGGAGGTTCAAATGCGATGACTCCGAACTATCTGCAAAACAGATGGTCGTCATAGTATTAGTCGTCTCGAAAAACGGATTATTTATCCGGGCTAATAAAAAAAACACAAATTATTTATACAAAAAGAAAACATGTCTCCTGCCATCCGCCAACTTCGTTCAAAATCCTAAGCAGAAGACAACGTTAGCAGCCGGTAACCGGTTTCCTCCCCACTATAAAAGATTTCCTATTTGTGTTGTTTTCCATTTTTATTAAACAACTGAAAATGAGTGTGGGTAAGCTCGCCACTGCTTTAACCGTCGTCTTCATCGTCTCCCTACTCATTCTCGTCGCCGAACTCCTCTACGTCCTCTGCCGCCGTCGTCAATCCACCCACAATGTGTTTCTCTACTCCTTCTGCTTGAAATCCAAGACACGTGTCGAGCCAGCCGGAGCTCCGCCACAAAACCCAGGTGGATCCTCGCCGGAAGATGCCGTGATCGACGTTTTTAAGCTGTTGGAAGCAAACGGACGGTCGAGGGTTCTTTGTACGATCAAAGAAGACGACCGAGAAGACGTGGAGTCTATCGAGATAGCGGTTACCGAGAGAATGTCTTTGCAAGAGTGTCTTGAGTCTGAAGCGGCGGCGGCGGAGGAGGAGAGAGCCGTGACGGTTCATGCGGAGGTTGTGGATACAAAGACGGTGTTCTCATCGCCGTATGATTCGCCGATGTTTTATACTCCGGTGGGATCTCCGTCACGAGAGGGGATGTGTTCGGAGTTAGTTTCTCCGGTGACCGGAAAGAATGGGCGGTGAAGAGCAGTTATGACGGGTATACGCATGTGTGTAAAGCGTAAAGAATAGACTAGTCTTGTACCATTATTGGCTTCTTGAAATGTACGTTAGATATTGACGTGCGACCGTTGTAGCCGGTAGGCATCTTTTTCTATTTACATAAATTAAAATTAAAACGTACAATGAAATTGCATAATTTAATCTGGATTCTGACATCACCCGTAATTTATTTGCAGTATGTTCCCAAAAATAGCTTATAATTAAGATACAAAAGTTATTTGTCTAACTGTATCGTAGTTCTTGGCCTTCTAACATATAAAGATATGTAACAAAAAGGGTATAAACCGAAAATGTAAATACGTTGTTGTAACGAAGATTACGAATCACTTAACTTGTTAGGAAAAGTAGAACTGGTTGTTTTTTTCACAAATAATTGATAACTTGGTTTCTGGTAGATAAATTAAATTAGCTGTTAATTGCTGGTTAATAAAGGAAAAAGTTCAAAAAAACTCAATGAACTTTCTTATTTTAAATAACTAGTTAGTGTATTCATGTGATGCATCGGAATTTTGAAACCAATAACTCGAACTCTCGATGATGCTTCGTTCTAATGAAGACTTTTAGGGTTTACAAGGGATTTTTGAAGCCTATATCGTTGTTCTTTTGAATGGTTTTGAAGCCTATATTAATTTCCTTTTTGACGGGATTTTGAAGCCTTTGTGGTTTTGTTAGAGGAGAGCATTACGCAACTACAAGACTTGTAAAAAAGATGTAAGTCGTTGAGTAAGAAAGTCACATCATGTAATTAATGACTATGGTTAGAGGGATGATTAAAAGAAAATGAAAACCACATAAATAAAAGATACGTATATGTAATGTAATATTTCCCAGCTAGGATTAAGGACAAAAGTTGAGATTGTGCCAATTGGACACTGATTCTTAAACTGTGTCTCAAAACATACTTTCAGTTGGTTTGTGGTTCAGACAGATATGAGGTTTGTCAGTCAAGACCCTTTAGATGGATGGGAAGATGACCTCCAGGATACTTATTTGTATTCGCTACTTCAGTAGAGATTGCACCTAAACCTAAAACAACAGCAGACACAACTAAATCAATATAATGTAATTTGACTATTCCACCCCTTAATGTAATTTAGCGTAGTAAACTTGAACAATCACTTGAATTCAAGTCAACATGCAATAATGAATCACAAACCATTAGTATGCACATTTTAAGGGTCTAATATCGTATTGGTATTGTGGTTATTGCATGAGTCATTTCAACCACAACCTGGTGAAATGTTGGCTACAGAATTTAGCCGGAAAAACTTGGTGTCATGAGTTTTTTTGAGCCACAGTCACCATAAACTTTGGATTCCAATCGCCATCTAAAAACTTGCAGGCCTGCGCGAAGAATATATAAATCCAAATAATTTGAATTACAACTTTTGTTAACGAAACAACATCGATCAAAACCTCTATTATATATTCTAACTCAAGATTTGGCACTTGGTTAAACTGTGAATGGTTGGCTCCATCCCTACAATCAACAACACGAAAGGTGGTAGAAAGCAAACCCATCAAGTTTCCAAAAACCCACGAGTTTCTTACCAAAAAATAATTGTATTTTGTGGTTTCCAAACTCTCTAGAATTCCTTCTTCAACTCCCATCGCCATCAGCTACATAAACATACAACTGTGTATCTCCAGGTTCGAGGTCTTTGAAAACGTAATCACCCGAAGAAGATGATGATGTTGTGGAGAACCCGCCGAGGAGATGAAAGAATAACTCAGGCTACATGGCTGCAAAACAAATGAGGACGGTTCTGGAACGTGGAGAAGTAGTCGGAGGGGTTGGTGAACTTAGCTTTAAATTTGTACTCTTTGAATTTAGTATAAAAATAGAAAATCAAAAATGAAAAATAAGTTTTAAAAATAACTCGGTATGGATTTATCATATTTAATAATATTATTGAATTCAAAGGTATTCAACATTAAGCTCGTTTTGATGGTAGCGAGAAAACGATTATAACGGTATAATTTATTAAAATGAGACTTTTTTTTAGTATATTTTAGTTAATAAATAATTATATATGTTAATATGAGAATGATGTAAAATGAAAAAAAAAATTAAGTAAATTAAATAACTAATTATAACTGTATAAAATGTAATTTAAAAATAAAAAATAAATTTATTTTTAATTATTATGATAGACATGGGAATGTTGTAAAGCTTCAAAAAGTGTACATCATGCATAAACATGGATACCTCTCCAAATTCAACAAGTAACCATTTAACATGTTTACAAAAATACTATAGATAGGTAAATAATATATATTTTATTACATGTATTTATGTTATTTAATAAAATTAAATAAATCCAAAAGTATTTGATATTGAACTCGTTTTAAGATATTGACAAGACGATTATAATCATATAAGATAGCTGTAACTTATCCTTTTTAATATAGTATATATATATATATATATTAAGCCTCTAAACATTTTATTTATAAATAAATCATTTTATTTTTTTATTTTAAATGATTAAGTTCGTAAATTTATTTATTTTTAAATAAACCATTAAACCTTAAAAAATTAATTATATATATTATTTTAATAAAAAAATTACTTGTTATCGGTTAAATAAAATATATGGTTATTAAAAAAAAGTAATAGATTTTTATAATCGTGTTGTTGATTCGATTTGATACTACTACTCGAAAGTTCGCATTCAATTTTTAGTCTATAGTCGTACTCATAAGTAGATACAAATTTATTTCTGTGGGCCCATTCTCTTTTTATATTTTATATTAATATTTAATATTGGGATAAAATTAGTGGACCCAATGATTCCTAGCTTTTTAATTAAGCTCGTTTATTAAACATTTACCTGATAAATATTTAATGCATCATTTACCTTATGAAATGAATCTGATAAGAATTAAGAATCTTATCCTGTAAAAACGAGGGTAAAAACAAAGAATCTTATCTGGTAAAGAAGGGTGTTGAAAATGTTAACCAGATATATTGTTGCATACGATACTGTTTTGAAGGACTATAATTTACAAATGACATCGTATGCAATAATTCATCCGATAAGCATTAGCGTGATAAGAATTATCAACCTCACTTATTTGATCTTTGTCTTCATTCTAAACTGATATAATTATGAGTCCTTATCATATACATCTGATAAGATAAGTGACGAACTAAACACAAGTAAAGGTTTAGTAAATTGGGCATGCGTGATCCCACCTGACCCAAGTGGGACTAAGGAGAGACAGCCCTAGAAGCATGCCCAAAAGGCCTAATTCTTCTGCCCAATAATTGTAGCCTACTTAGGTGGCCCAATAATTGATGTAAAACACCAAATTTATCGTCTCAAATTCGAAGGATTTGAGTCTAAGAAAGATTGTTTTCCTATTTTCATACAAATAGTGAGTACCCATTTCGAGATAGTTGCTACCTATATGTTCTGATTCATTTACTACACGACCATGCATCATGATCTTTTTCAACTAGGCACCGAAAGTAATACAAACCTGCTACGACTCCAAACTGTAAATACCTTGTTGAGATGGGCTTCTTTTTGTAAAAAAATGGAGTGAGGGGTGGGGAAAGATATAGTGACCGTGCCGTAAGACCTTGTTCCTTTCTACTTGACTAAGTAATATTCGAGAAATCCGTCAGTTGGAAAGATGAGAGTCTCATTCTTGTCTCGATAAGGGAGAAAGGGCTTCTTGATAATCTTCGGGCATACCACATATCCCTCTTCTTCCTTGTGAGATCTTATAATCGGGAAGGCGCAGGTAGAACGTGTGGAAGGAAGACACTGGACGAGTAGACTTTGTGCCATAAATTTCCAACCCCATATATAAAATCTAATATAAATTAAAAACATATCCAACGTCTCATCTTTTTTTTTTTAGTATTTCCTATCTTCTCTCTCCACACATATACACACATAATTTGAATATGCAGAAAAGATAACATTTTATCTACACTTTCTTAGAAATATTATTATAGTTTGTGAACATACTATAAATCCATGAGATTTGGGTATAACTTATGAACATAATGTGAAAACCAACTAAATCTACTTGTGAACACCATGTGAATAACAGTAAACATTAATCTTAACTGATTAATGAAGATCTTGAATTAAAATACTCGTGAATATATATATTTAACTAATAATAAAACTATGTTTATAAATAAAGTGTTTTCTTTGGATTTAAAGTCAGAAAAAAAAACATCTTTTACTTAAAGTAAAGATAAAGATAAAATGATAAATTGTTCTCTTTCACTTTCAAAAATGATTACCACTAAATTATATGCTTTGAATACCCCCAAACACACACACACACACACATCATATTATTTAGGCATCTTTAGTCATTGATTTCTTTTCTTTTTAATTGTTTTAGGTTGGACAAATTATATGAAAAAGTAACGTACTTTAACTTTATTCCTATTTTAGATAATGTATTTTTAAAACTTGCATTTTGATATCTAAGATATAAAGTTTTAAACATTTAAGTATCCAGATAACCGGTTGAAACATCTCATTTATTCAAAATCAACTTTTTATGGTTTTTATTTTCATTTTATAAACACTTTATTTTCATTTGCCATATATTAAATGGTTAAAAATAAGAATTATAAATGTTTGATTTTAGAAAAATAAATATGAAATATAAAATTTGAATTTGAATTTGAATTTGAATTTAATTGGGTTAAAATTAAAAAAGGCCAAATTTGAATTCAACGGTTATGTAAGAGAGTCATTTAATAGTCTACAAACAAAACTGGGAACCATTCAAAGTGGGGATGAAAGAACCTTTATTTACACAAATTATAGCATATGCTTTTATATCCTTTATATTAAATTTATAATATAAACTAGGATTTTTGTTTGATAAAAAAAATTCAATCTATAAAATTCAAATATGAAAATTCAGTTTTTTTTTTTTTTTTTTTTTTTTTTGCAATTTGCATGAAAAAATAACATATTTTAACTTAATTTTTATTTTAGGTAACGTTAAACTTTAAAATGAAAATATTTGTAATTTAGAGTCGTTTACCAAACATTCATCAAATAAACGCTTACTGTCAGTAGTCACCAACCTTACTTACATAGTAAACGTCTTATACCAAATGAAAATATTGTTGTATTGTTGGTAAATGTCTTTCACCCGATAAACGTTTATCAAATAAAAATCATTTTTTCTCACTTACAAGTAAGATCATTGGTTATTATCACTATTCACCCTGAAAAGTAAGGGGTACCTGACAATGACATACAATTATCGTAACTGTAATAAGCATTTGTCGTTATTTCTCCGCAATAAAAACAGAAGCAAATTTTTTTTTTTATTTCAATACAATTTATCGTGAATTTATTATGAAGAATTACCATAAATAAACATAAAATTTGGAAAGTATCACCATGGGAACCAAAAAGGAAAGCATTGAGATGCGACCACTCACCATCTTTAATTATATATTGCTAGTTTTCTTACTTTACAAACGAACTTTAGAGGAAATTGAAATTAGAGTAAATTATATTTTTCATCCTTACACTTATCATTTATTATCGAGTTGATCCATTTTTAAAAAGTAGTTACAATTTTGGTCATTATGGTTGTTGTTTTATTTCACTTTTAGCCCTTATAGTTATCATTATGGGTTTTTTCCTTTCAAAAATGTGAAATTTACAAGGGTTGCTGCAAAATAGTTTTACCACTCAAAACCATTGTGCTAATAAAGTTCATAGCAAAATGCAAATTGCAATGAATATTTATGTATTTATGGAAGTTTAGGGGACCATTTTTGTTATTTTGTGTACATCACAGGGACCAAAACTGTACTTTACTGAAAATTTAAAATTATTAGCATGGGGAATTGAAAAAGATATGCCACTGAATTCTAAATGGGTCCCAACCTCTGTTATCTTAACGTTTAAAAAAAAGCAAACAGATGATATGACTTCAATCTCAAATTTTAAATCCATGGTTTTCTTTACTTTCCTTACAATCGAACTCAAAAAGAAATTAAAGTTATCATAAAATTCAATCAAATAATCGAAATTGTATCCAAGATCCAAATCCAAAAACGATAACAAACAATACCCATTAATCAGAATTTAGATTCATCACTGTATATATATATATATATCTCCAAAAAATTGCATGAAACAGAGTGAGAATCAGAAACAAAGATCAAGAATCAGTAGATCGATGGAAGAATCATCAATGCGATCGAGATCATGATCTTCTTCTCTACCAATCGAAATCACACTTGGTTCGTTCAAATTTCGCAGATGAAACCTTACCTTTAGTAGTCAATGGAACCTTCAAATCGCATTCGAATTTGGGTTTAAATTTAGGGGTTTTCGCCCACCAGACTTTGAATCGGATCTTGAGTCTCAGCTTCAAATCGATGTTGTAAACATCATCGCCCTTCTCCGAATCGTATTTCGATTTTTCACCACCGCCGAGAAACACCAGTTGTTCTCCTTTAAACACCGCACTCAAATTATTCTCCTTCTTATGCCCTAAAAAGAATCCGTCAACCTCCGCCGTCGAAAACCTCTGGCCGTGGTACAACGCGTTAGCCTCGATTTTGTCGTAGTAGATCCCCAATCGGCGGTTAGGATTCCGGAACGTCATGTTGACGGCGAGGTTGTAGTAGAGAGTGTTGTTCGTCGGAGAGAGGGTGAATCGGGTGAGAGTGGCGTCGGCGACGTGAAATTTGGGGACGTTGGGGCGGAAGATGAACCAGAAGATTAAGCCGATGATGGCGAGGAAGACGGCGATGGTGATGAGAATTTGGCAGATGAGATTGAATATACAACCACAGATACAGCTGCAACAACAAGTTAAGGGGTTGCAACTGCTGCCGCGGCCAGGGCTGTGGTAGGATTTGGTTTTGGGAGGGATAGAAGGGCCATAGTAGGCGCCGTTGAGGTGTGGTTGAGCCGGCGTCGGTGGCATTATGGAATCGGAGAAATTATGCAGAGAGAATTGGGGATGTGAATTTAGGGTTTTGATGGAGAAGGAGAAGGTGAAGTAAGACACCAAAGAGAATAATGAAACGGGCGACTATTGATGCATCCTATAAATAACTTTCACCTATGCATAGTTGTACATTTTGCATTCAAGTTTCTACATATTCATATGTGATTGAATATTATTAACCATACTTATTCACATCGATGCGTCCAATGTAGAGGATATGAATATGATCTTTCATGCAATCGTAATATTCATTCATTGTAGTGTAAAAAATTGTAGGATAATGAAAAGTATCACCATATATATTTTGAAACTACAATGAGAACACAAGTTTTTCTTGATAGACTTGGTTTGCAAAAAAATTCTTCTACACCAGACCCGAGTACTTTTTAATTATTTTTATTAACATTACACTTTAAAAATATCCACCTACTATAACAATTGGTAATTTGTCACCTTTTAAACGAATTATCCTCCTTTTTTCTTTGCTTAAATAGTTTAAATAAGGTGTCGTGGAGGACGCGCCATTTTGATTATATGGCATAAATAAATAATCACTTTTTTTTTAAAATAATTTCCTCATTTTTAATCCCGATTATTCATAATCACCAAATTATGTTTTTCATCCATCTTTTTAGATAATGTGAAAAAAAAAATCTAGTCTTATTAAATTATATGCAAATTAAATATTTTAAAATAACATAATTTTAACCAAATTTGTATTTTTTTTTCAAAATAAATATTAATTTTTATTTGTTTCAGAAAATATATTTGAGTAAATTACGAATTTAACCGGGTTAACAAGAGTATCATGTCTGTATTTATTTTGATTTTGGAATCATTATGGATAAAAAGTGTAAACCACTGAGACCAAATTTGAAATTTACTCCAAATATTTTATTTGTAAAAAAATGTAACATCTTGTTATTTTTCTTATAGAAAAAGTACACATTTTATAACATTTCTTTAAATTTTTAGTGATATAAAATGTTCTTAACAAATCTTCTTAATATTATTATTTTAATGAATAAGTTAAAAAAATTCTAATTAATTTATTATATTTATTAATTAATATATCAAGTTAAAAAAATAAAAACAAATGAAATATTTTTTTTTCAAGATAATTATTTCGTTCGTAAAAAAAGAGAAACAATTTTTATTTTCTTTGTTTAAAAAGAATATTTTTAATTTTTTTAAATGTTAGCGAGATAAGTTGTGATTTACAAGTATTCTTAATATTGTTATATTAATTAATAATTTATATTTTTTTAATTAATTTAATATTTTTATTAAATAATATGTAAAATTATATTTTTTGAAAGTATAATGATGTAAGAATAAATGACACGTCACTAATATATCACACATGGACAATGACATGGCATGGACGACCGATAACCTTTGTGATGTCATTGTCATCTTATTTCAAATCAAAAGGTTATTCATTCCTATAACAAATATATTTTTTAAAGTAAAATGCTTTAATAAAAAATAACTTGAAACTATATTGTTGTAATAAAGAAAAATGAAAATACAATGTTATAATAAAGAAATTTTTGAAAATATGTTACCATTTCATTCATTTACCCCTTGAAAAAGGAATAACTGGGCTCTTTCGGACAAGCCTTTTGAGGGGCTTGAAGAAAAAGTTTGTATGATTAGGGTTTTAAGGCTCGACGTTAGCTTAGACTCAAGCTTTATGTGCTCGGATTCCTGTTCTATATTTAGTTTTCATAGTGAGATTATGTCCTACGTAGGAAAAATAGTGAAATATTGCTTGTATTGTGAATTATATACAAGTTCTTCAGGCATCACTTGTCCCACTTACGAAATGGGATAAAGTCTTCCTTAGTTTATAAGTTCTAATCATCTTGTTGAATTGTTCAATAGATTAATGAGAGAAGTATAAGAAGGGATCTCCACCATATGATACAGATATAGATGCACTGGGATGAGATGCACTAGATTAATCCTTATATCAAACGTGATTAATGGGTATATTTGATATTAAAGGTGATCAAGGATCCAGATCCATTCTTACGCTTCTCATCTTAACTCTCTTCTCACATGATTTTTCTTCTATACATATGTATATGTATGTATATAGTGGTTCAAACGAGAACAATAACCAAATAAACTAATACCAAAACGGTCAAATCATAAGCAAAATCACATGTGATTATACACTAACAAGCCATGCAAGTATGTGTGTGTATTAATCATTGATCATTTTCATCTTATATTAATCATTTCCTTTCCTTCATATTCTACAGAATGTTCATTAATAAACATATATGTGGGACAGGTTTAATTGATTAGGTAATCTTGGGGGTGCAATAACCACAACCCAAACAACATTGTCTAGTGGAGGTTAATAATATCTTAAGGACAGTGATACATCATGTCGTAATCATTGCTGATGTTGCACTTATCTCCTCCAATTATCTTTTTTTGCTAACAGTCTTAGACTGGTTTTTTTGTGTGCATCTCTGTTGTATATATACATATATAATTGTGTATTATGAACCATACTTGTACATAATGCATATATCATTATACATTATAAGTCATAGTTGTACATTATGCATATCTGAATGTACGTTATGAGTCATGGTTGTACATAAATTATGCATATACGAGTGTACATTATAAATCATAAACGTTTATGCATATACGACTATATGTATTTGTATATTATTATTGTTTAACTAAAAAAATAATATTTAAAAATCTAAAAAATAAATACAAATCCATTACTCTATAACAAATAGACTCAACCAAAATCTAAGGCCATTAAATATATTTGAATTTAATCATATTATGTGTAATAAAATGTTGTATTGTACGAACCGTCAAAATTGTAATTTGTTTTAAAGTTTTTAACAATAAATTGTGTAATACATTTAATTGTATGTATTAATAGACGAATGTATAAATCGTCATCGAATTTTGCAATACAATTTTTTGTGATTTGGATAAAAAATCAAATTGCATATGCATTATGATTTACAGTTTTGACCTTGAAATGCAAATCATATTGCATACATGGTTTTAATCAAAAGTACATTTACAGATCAAATTGAATAATAAAAGGAACCGGAAAAAAAAAATCAAAGTAAACGATGAAAAAATAGCAGTAAAAAACAATTGTTTACGAAATTTGGTTGGTAATTAGATGTTAAACCATGTTTTATGTTGCACCGTCAAGTTATCATATTGTGTATTTTAACATCAGCAGTCAAACGGGGGCGTTAGCATTCATTTCTAAAGTTTTTGCTCATCTATGTACAGAAAATTCAAACAAACATATCCGAACTTTTTTTAGTTAACGTAATCGGGTTCTGTTCTACTGAATAAAGGCTTTAAAGGCTCAGTTGGATCCTTTTAAGTTGGTATGGCTAATTTGTGATTAAAAAAGTAAAAGAAAATTAAATACACACATAATTATGAAATAAAAGATGGATTTCTTCATAATTTGTTGATATATTTAAATCATTACTGATTTGCAACTTAAGATCGTTATGGAAAAGGCCATTGCAAATATGGTTTTATTCTATAACATGACACTTAGTATGGCCATTCTAGAGGTAAAAGCAGTTCAATAGGGATCTCATCCAAGTCCTTATGCTCTTCGTCCTTAACAAAATGCTTCTCGAAGTTGGCTTCTTGCTTCTTTTGTTCACCGACATGAGAACCACCATCAGCACGACCATCACCGAGACACTTGCCTATAACAAGAAGAATATTGCTAAAAAGACGAGTTTAAGCTCGATAAGTAACAAAAGAGTGAAGATGAGTCTATATTAGACTTGGCAGGGTTCGATTTGACATACGAGATTAATTGTGATGAAATGACTTAATCTACTTATGATTATGGCTTTGTAAAATAGTTTTATTTCTACAGTAAGTTATTAAATCGTAATGGAGACGTCGTTAAACTCCTTGACAACCTGCGACCGATTTAGTGCAGGACACTTGGAGCATTTCCAAAATTTTTCAAAATAAAGTAAAAAAAATTAATCACATTAAAAAGGGAGTCCAAATTCACACAAATTGGCCGTTTACCAAACGCTTACTCGGGTAAGTGAACACCAAGTCATTTTACCTTACCGGATGAATATGATAAGGATCAAGAATCTTACCCGGTAAGAGCGAGACAAGGATCAAGAGTTTTACCCGGTAAGTGAAGGCGATGACTCTTACCACGGTAAGCGTTTACCGGGTAAATTGTTACATACGATGCCGTTTTGGTGGACTAAAATCTTATTCGGTAAGTAAATGATAGTGTTAAATTTACCGGTAAGTGCTTACCGGGTAAATGTTTGGTATAAAAGTGTACCAACCTCATGCCATAATATGATGACTTTGACCACCAAAAATCCACCCTAAAAAACATGCAAATTCTAAGGAAAAACCATGGAAAATAAGGATTATGTGTTTAAAAGTAGTTGAATTTTGGGAAAATATTTTACAAAGAATAACATTTTCATCTATAAAAAAGGAAAAAAAATGTTAAAAAATAATTTAGATTCTAAATTTGTTTATCAAAATTGTATATTAGTCGGTGATGACGTTATCACGGGAGTTAATTGGTAATTGTTTTTAACGTATAGAAGATAAAGTTTTCCAATGTAACGTATAAAATGACGATTGAAAATTATAAAACAAATATAGCATTTAATAAATTGATCCATCGTGTTATCTGCACAAGGTGAGGGTTTTTATGTGTGCGTTTGGTAAACAAACTGGATGAGATGAGACGGGACTGGACAAGAGTTGAGGGTAAAAATACTCTATGAAGTTTTAGGGTTTTAATTGGACATATGTAGTTTCGTAATTTACTAATATTGTTTCATCAACGTCTTAATTAAGAGTCCAAAATTTATTAGAACCCAATTGTGAGAGGAATTGTAACTCCCACACTGCGCCAACCAAATACTCATTTGTTTATATAAAATACACCACCCTCGAACCATCTGTTCCACGTTTCGATGGCAATAAATTTTCGTTTGCGAAAAAGATTTTATTTTAATTTCATAAATATATTACTAATTAAATTACC